TATGAAATAAATAAATTATATTTATCTTTATAATAATAAAAAATAATAATATTTATTAAAATTCATTAGAAAAATAAAATTATTTCTCAATTTATATATTATGTTTAATGTAGTTATATGTTGTAAGTTAAAAAATATTATAATATAACACATGTAAGTCGCACAAATGAAAAGTGTTGTACTAAATATATAATAATATATATATTTTTATAAAAGGTATTTAAATTTTCAACTACTTTTTCTCATTAATTTTAGATTTTTAAAAAAAAAAATTAACAAGCACCCGTGTAATTCACGAGCGTTGTACTAGTATATATTATTACTATTGAACTGTTGTAGTAGATAAAAGTTCAACACGATTTACGCATCAACTACTTTTTTCTTATCATGTATCATTAATGTTAGTTTCATCAAAATATCTTTATTATTTTAGAATTTATGTAACATAATTTAAATGTTTGTTTATTATTATATTATTGAAATTCGGTCAATGTACATTTCTAAAAATTATAGTAAATCACATCTCTCACGAATGTCAAGTGAATAAGTAGTAATATGTTGTTGACTTGAACATTCAACAATTAATAGGTCTATTTCTAACTTTACCAAACATGATCCATTATGCACATCATTATCATATCGTCATCATACTTATTATACTAAAAAATGAATCGTTAGAGTTTATTTTTCTAATAAAATGTAAAATGTGTGGGCATAATTTAAAATAAATATATGAGAAGCAAAATGGAGTCATTTTTTAATTTATTTATTAAGGCCTCGTTTACTTTTAGTATGGGATTGGATAATAATATCAATGTCACTTTACACGTCAGCAATTATCATTTATTTACTTCATGAGATACATTTTTCTGATAACAAATTACTATTAGCTGATAAAACAAAAATGACAAAACTACCCTTGTACAGATTGTAAGGTGGTGATTGTTTAGTAAAAAACTAATTTTTATTTGGTTTATTTTTAACTATAGTTAATTTTGAAAATAGGTGGTGTGGTTAGTTGTTAGTGGATATATTAAAATAATATTTAAATAAAATAATTAAAGTTGATTTGATGTAAAGTATGAGGAAAATGATTGGAAGTGATAATTAGTTAGAATTATGTGAGTGGATGAATAGTAATTAAAGTTAATGTGATGTGTAAGAATGATTGGTTGATATTACTTAATTATATTATTAATATTGAAGATAGTGGGGTAGACTTAAAGTTGAGTTAATTTGAGTTTTGATTGAATTTTTTACAATTGAATTTATATACAATCACACCCTAAAGAATTCAGGCGCACTTCGACATCTCATTTTCGCCTCTGCACATCCCTCATACGAGCCGAGAAAAATTTGCCCTAAACAACATCACAAGAGTCGTGATCTGGAGTGGCCGGCGAGGACGGCATTCTGAGGACGACCGAGCAGTGAAGACGACGGCCGTCTGTCAAATGGTAGAGCAGAGAGAAACAGTATAGAAAGTGTAGGGAGTGTTCATCTTCATTTACTGAAAAGAGTAGATACAATAATGATTTTCAGATTACAGTGTTCAACTAATATTTGGCTATATGTAAAGTCCTCATCAATTAAGGAAAAAGGATTATAAAGGAAAAGACTAAGATACCCCTTACAACTTTAACTAGTAAAGAATACATCATATGGTCAACAGCCCCCCCTCAAGCTTGGCACTTGATGAAGATCAACAAGGCCAAGCTTGAACCTAAGTACATTAAAAAAGGAAACACCCAAAGATTTAGTAAAAATATCAGCTAGTTGAAGAGCTGATGAAATCTTCTTAGGAGTGACAAAACCGGCCTTGTACTGATTCCTCACCAAGTGACAGTCAATGTCCAAGTGCTTGGTCCATTCATGGAACACCGGGTTAGCTACAATATGTAAGGCAGCCTGGTTGTCACACCATAGAGGAATAGGAACATCCACAGAAATAGCCAGGTCTTGTAGGAGAAAAGACAACCACTGCAGCTCACAGACAGTGCCACTTAAGGCTCTGTATTCAGCTTCTGCGGAACTTCTTGAAACAGTGGCTTGCTTCTTGGTTTTCCAAGCAATGAGAGCAGACCCCAAAAAAACACAATATCCAGTAAGTGATCTCCTAGAGTCTTGGCATGACCCCCAATCAGCATCACTGTAAGCTTGGAGAGAGAGTGAAGTATGTGAAGAATAGAATAATCCCAAAGAAGGACAACCTTTGAGATATCTAACCACATGTACAGCTGCAGCCCAATGAGCATCAAGAGGAGCACTAACAAACTGAGACAATTGTTGTACAGCATAGGTGAGGTCAGGTCTGGTCATGTTGAGGTACAACAATCTTCCCACTAACCGTCTATACTTCTCTATATCCTCAAACACAATCCCAGTGGAAGAAGACAATTTTAACCCACAAGGGAGTGGTGTGGAAACAGGTTTACAGTGAATGAGACTTGTATCTTCCAAAATGTCCAAAATATATTTCCTTTGATTCAAGTAAATACCATCTGTTCCCCTTGCTAATTCAATACCAAGAAAGTACTTAGCACCCAAATCTTTGATAGTGAAAAGATTATCTAAATATTTCTTCAAATCAGTCAAGGCACCAGAATCAAAACCAGTCAACAAAATATCATCAACATAAATCACCAAAGCAAGAAAACCAGAGGCAGAAGATTTAACAAAAAGACAATGGTCATGTGCTGATTGTTGGAAACCAAATTGCACTAGTTTAGCACAGAATTCA